TCTGTCTACAGGTGGAAGACGCTGGCAATTACTAGTGGACTGTGTCACTTGACAGAGCTGCCCTCTAATATTTGACTTCCATTAATTTCATCCTTAAAGAGGTATTGACAAAAAAAGGATTTGTTGCACCGCTGCTTACACCTAGGAGCCGATGTCCATACTTGAGAGACTGTCAAGAAACAGTTTAAACACAGGAAAACCTGACTGACAGTTGTATAAAGTCAACTCTGAGTCAAATTAAAAGAACACAGTAAACCTCTTTTAGCAACAAAGAACAGAAGATTCAGTTTCAAAGCTACAAGCACCATTAAGATCCAGTTTTAATTTAAAGTTTCAGAAATTTTCTCTTACTTCTGAAAGATTAGAATTTAGTGGTGAGTAGAGGCAGAGGCAGCTCCGGCGTCCGTATAATTACGGGAAAATTACATTCATTATTGTAATTTACATCTCATCTCCAATCCAATTATTAGCAGTTTGACCTGCACAGCACATGTTAGCATGGAAATCTAAAATGGGCTCCCAAGACGGAGGCAAGGGAGGGGTGGAGGACAGAAAGACAGCGAGAGGGAGAATTTGGGACTTTGGGAGTTGTAGGAGGGGAAAAAACAATCAATATGGCTCTAAAAGATGATGATTTTAAATAGCCATAATTCTCTGCCTCAGAGCACAGCTGCCAAGGGCGCCGCTGCAACACTTTGATGTCTGATATGCAATATTGCTGCCAGTAATTTGCTCATCTGCATCTCTGGAGGGACCATCGCCTGTCTGTCTTGTTCATCTGCCTGACCGTGTGTATGTGTTGCCAGTCAGTCTGTCTGTCTGTCCAGCTGTCTCTCCATCTCTTAAAATTGTTATTCATGACGCACATATACAACTTCAGACATACTTTTGGAGTGGAGTGAAATTAGGAACTTGCAAGTGGGGAAAGTCTGTGCATGTGCATTATACATAGTCTCCGAGGAACAAACGTAACCTGTAAACAATGCAATCTCTCTTGTATATTGTTGGTAATACCACACTTATGTAAAGCACTACAAAACATATCATTGTTCTTACCTGCCTGACTGCCTGATCAGCTGCAGGTCCAGCCCCCTGTCTCTCATCCCTAACTATTGTCTTCACTGTTATTATCTCTGAAAAATTGCTATAAACATATCTATCACCGTGAGAGACGCGGTATGTAGGAAGCAATCAGTTCTTCTGTTGTGCCGCAATCTTGTCATTATATTTCTTGAATGCAAAACGTACAATTTACAGGGAATGCAAGCGATGAGCTTGAAGGTATGTTTTTGAGTGGGTGGTGAGGACAGAGCTTTCATAAGCTCTCCATTGTGGTATGCAAATGAAAATACACGCGGCATGACATGCTTACCACTATGAAAAAGTTATAAGCTAAAGATCAAACAGTTCTTTAACATTTGATTGATTACTAAATTATTAAATTATTTAATCAAGTACCTAGATTCATACCTTTTATCTGAGGAGATATGATCATTAGATTGGAGCAATTCCCTGGAAAGATCCCCACTCACCAGCTCTTAAGTATGAACTCTACCTTGGTGTGAAGTCACATTCAAAGCTGTGGAGGGCAACAGGAGTAGCGCTTACTACACTCCATCATGAACACCATTAGGTATGTAAGTAATTATCTGTTTAACATGAAACCGACAAGGAGAATTTTACCTGATTTATACTTTTAGTTAGACAGTTAAAAGTACATATTAAATCAAATATACTGGCACTGTGGCGAGAAATGATGAGACAGCTGAGTCTGCTATTGCCCAGACTGGAGTTCTTGGATGCCGGCAAGGCAATGCCATGATGTTGCTTCTGGAGACGAATGCAGTACCCTTCAAAAAACTAATGACCCCAAGGCAGAGGTGGATACCTATATGAGAAACACTAGCACCCTCATTCAATATTTATCCACTTCACTAGCAGGAAGGATCAGCAAACTTTCTGTTGCTGCCATCACACAGAACAGTCAGTTCAATGTCTGCCCGATTAGAACAAGCTAACACAGCAGCAGCAGCCGCTGATATCGGACACCAAGCTGTTTAACGGTCCCGACATATGCTTTCGGACACCGAAACAGCCTTACTCTGCCATTACTTACCAACCCAAGTAATGTTGGCCGTAAGATACAGAACAGATAGCCCCTGTCACTGTGTCTAGACAGATGGACTCTCTCACACTCCGGCAGCAGTAGTGTCATGATACATAGAGAAAGAGAGAGATGGGGGCAAGGATGTCGGTTGATGGTTAATGAATGGTTAATAAGGATCTGCTATCGGTCACAAAAAACCTTCGGGAGCTTTATCATGGTACGTTCTTCCCTCGCTGAGTGATGCATGCAAATGGCTGTGAGACAAACTGAATAAATTGACCAACCGACAAACTGAATGTTGTTTTTATTTTAGTTTGCCATACATTCTGTGATTTTAAACCCACCATGGAGAGGCAGTGTTAGGGTGTAGCTATAGGTTCATAGTCTGGGGTTCATGTTCTTGACGTAGCAAGACCGAACGTACATGATGTTTCCTACAATATCCGGCACCAGCAGACCTCCTTAGATACATAGCAAATGCTAAATGGCCCTGCACTTGTATAGTGCCTTTCTAGTCATCGACCACTCAAGCCACTTTTTACACTACTTGTCACATTCACCATTCATGCACACATTCATACACTGGTGGACAAGGCTGCTATACAAGGTGTCACCTGCTCCTCCATCAAGTATTCACACACTGATGGTACAGCCATCAGAAGCAATTTGGGGTTAAGTATCTTCACAAGGATATTGCGACCACCTCTTGAGCCACATCCATTGGTATAGACCTGCTCTTTTGGAATTTTCTGTTAATTTAAAGAAACACACGTAAACATGCATCTGGAGGTAGAGAGGACAGGGTGTGCGGCCCAGTTAAGACTGAGCCAGGAATTCAGGACACTTCAACAGGGCAGAGGCTAGCAACACAGCCTTAAATGTAATTTTTTTTCAAAAGAATGGTGGTGTTTTAAGTCATCCCTCCATCACATATGAATAGTTTTGGAAACTACTCAGTATTGCAGAATCTTTGTCTGTGTGAGCGATGAAAGACACCAACATATCTCTCAGAAACCAAGTCAATGCTTCAAATGTAGGTTTGTTTGAAGCCAGTTGACAGCAGGTCAGATAGCTTCAAACAGACCTGCCTCTCACACTGTGCAACTCGTTTACTTTCAGATTGCCATTGCTCCATTCTCTGGAACAATTTCCATAAATCTCCACAGTCTAACAGGCAGGTTGAGAGAGGCTTATGTCAGGGCCGGGGAGTAAAGTCTACTGTTCATTCATGTGCATGTGTGTGTGCATGTGTGTGTGTGTGTGTCCATGCCCGTATGTGAGTACTGGTTTGAAAGTCTTAGATGTCCTTTGAAGTTTAAGACAGCTCTGCATCAGCTCACTGGTTCTACTTCATGGGACGTGAATGTGTGGACATGAGCAACATCTGAGTCACCGACTTGTGGGCCATTTTCTGGTTGTGTGTGCCGTGTGTGAGTGTGTGCATGTCCACCTTGCTCTGGCATGTGTGCTCTTGCTCATGCATGACTGAGTACCCAACTGTGTCTCAATTCCTTCCGTTGTCTCGGTTTCTACCTGTCTGTCTGAGCGAGTGCGCTGCCATTCCCTGGACACACTGCGCAGTCTTGACAGACACTCGACTCCACAACATACACCTGAAGCATGTCAAGTAAAATGCTTGTTGTAGTGTAAAAGTTTACTTTGTGCATTTTGGTATTGTGTGAGTCCTCCTGTCCAGCTACAAGCAAACCGCGTGTAGTTGGACAAGCTCATAAACAGAAGTCCCAAGTCTCATACACATTTATTGGTAAACTGTAATCCCTCTTCTTTTATCCTGCCTAGGAGACTCAGAACAAAAACACACCTTTACCTAAGCTTAGTCCAATGTCTTGCTGTGATTCAGCTTCTCTGGTGGTCATACCATTAACATGAAGAAATAGATCATCAGCCTAGAAGGTGGTTTGCTTTCATTTCTTTTTGTTATTCTTGGCTTTCCATGGTAACTATTAGCTTTTAGGTTTCAGCTTTCATGTCTCTGACCTTTAAGCTTTGCATTTTGAGTTTCTCCTGGTGGCATAGATTGCTTGCTTAAGAAAGCACAGCACAGGACTTTTAGCTTTTTCCATGTTATACTGAACTTTTAAAACTTCTGCTAGGATGCAGAAAATTTACTTCAAGCTCCCTGATATCCTAACAAATGGTCCTGCACTTGTATGGCACCCTTCCAGTCATCTGACCCATCAAAGCACTTCTTTATAGCTGACGACCAGCTCTACCTCTGAGTCACAGTCGCCCAAACACAGTAACTTGTCAATTTAGAGATATATATGAAAGGCTAACTGATCATTTTGCTGTGTACCATTAAAATGTATAAATAAAACAATGATTACAGCTTTATTTAATGTCACAGTAATTAACTATTACTGGTGATACAACCTTGAAACCCATCAGCAATCTGTCTGACAACGTTCAAGCCTTTGAGGACGATGGCCAGTATCCCTGGGGTTACAGCGTAGCCAGCAAATGTCCTGATAACACATATCCAGGCCAAGACTCTCTCTTCATGCACTGGTAATTGCTTACAGTCCAATTAGCAACTTGAGACGTGAGAATAGAGTTGCAGTTGTGAGACGACGTCTACAGCAGGATTGTTTCACAAGTGGCCGGTGAACAAAGCTAACAATAAGCTAGATCGTCATCAGACAATAGCTGGTAGGCCACAAAACTGCATTTCAGCCAATGGGTTCTGCCTCTTCTGCCCTCCACATGGACAGTCGACCTTCATGCAAGCAAACCGTGTTTTAACATGACTTATCAATACAACTTAGACTACAAACAGAAACCAGAACGCTTCTGATACCAAAATCTTGTCCAAAATCTGTCAACAGGGATCAGAGGGGATGTAATGTTGTGATAATATTTTCGTTGGACTCACTGGATCGCAGAGCGGACGGGGTGACCTCGATCTCACTGGTGGCTTGGTAGGGCTGAAAGGCTGACACCGAACTCATGTCACTGGTGAAGGGTTCGGGACTCTGTGTACCAGTGGAGCTGGCACTGGTACCATCACCTCCATTGTGAGGATCCTGCTCTTCATATACTGCTACCAGCTGGAAGGAGAAGTAAAACACTTGTTAGTGAATTAGAGTGTGTTTTGGGGAGACAGAAATGTAACCAGTAGCTATATATGTAACAAAAATAGGGTTGTAGGTCTAACATTTTTGTGTTCATACATGAATTGGTGGGTGCTCAGGTACTGTGTGTATGTCTTTTGATTTCACATTCACCCCAAATCACTCAATCATGTTACAAGTCTCATAGCACTCTCTCTTTGTGGTCTAATCTTGCAACATCTGCAGTCATGTAGCGCTGGGTGTTCGGGGTTGCCAGGTTTGGCTCCCGCAGCGAGCAGCTGCTCCATTCCCACAAAGGTGATACGTTGCCACTTTTCCCAGGCCAGATAGGGAGAACTCCCCACAGCATCCCGTAATTATCAGAGTCTAACACATGCAGCTCATCACTACAGCCAGCACGCCCACTTAACAAGAGAGCAAGAGAGACAGCAGCTCGGATTATGGTGTGAGAGAAACACTAGACTCTGTTTCCTCTTTCACCGGGATGAGGAAATTAGATTGGCCGATGCTGATTGACGACATACGAGTCAAAGCTTATATGTATGCTCCTGGACTGAGACATACAGAGAGAGGGGGAGAGAGAGCAATGAAAGAATAAAACCTGTGGTGGTAGAGTGCCAAGTGGTTTGCATTGCCAGCACAACCTGTTACTAAACCTCTCACAAGAAGATTAACCTCTTATTCCATCCAGACAGAGCAATCATACAGCAGCAGCCTGATGCAAAGCATCCTATACAGAACAACAGCATGTATATTACAGACTTGAGATGAGTTCCTTTTATGTCTTTGTGCTACCTGCAAATCTATGTAATGGAAGGCCATAGATGTGGAGAGAGCAACCAACAAAGAAAGCATTAGTTGCCATTGGGAGCAAACAGCTTTCGTGTATTCTGCATCGCATTTGTCTGAAGGTAAAAATAGCACAAGTGTTTTTCCATGTATTTGCTGTTTTTCATCACCCCTACGCAGGGAAATCTGCATATAAACAAGTTTAGAAGCCCCTGCTCTTCTTTTTGATTTAATTCATATGCAGAGGATGATGCTTAAGTGTGTATGTGTTTGTGTATCTGCGTCTGAATTTATGCCTTTCTGGGAGTATGCCCATGTGGTTTACTGTTGCCGTAATTCACGGCGACATCTCTCACGCTGGCTTTGCACAATTAAAGCAGACTGCATTTTTTCCTTAAGATGTTTCCTCGCATCGTGATGCCGTTTCTGAGACGTAGTTTATCACCAAAGGCTTCACCCATTTCACTCTAATCACGTTCCATTCCGATCTTGAAATTACATTCCTCAGGTTGTGAGGGTTTTGTCGCAAATTTGCTCAGTGCACCAGAGAGGCAATCAACGAGCAAAGAGATCCGGTGCTAGAAAATAAGAAGGCCTTAATATTAGAAGTCAGGCAGTTTAAGGAGGTAATTTGCTGAAGTTTTGCTTATTGGCAAATGTGTAAATTCACGTGTTGAGGCACAAGGCGTGCTTTGATCTTACGCTGGTTAATCTGCCTTTTTTCTGTATCATATACTTTGATATCTGGTTTATTTACAAGATCTAAAATCTTATTTCAGAAAGTGGAGAATATTTATTTTATGTGTGTGGGATGGAATGATGTTTTGGCTGAAAATGTTTGCGATAACGATGAAAGGAACAGCTATGTGAAGATGCCGAGGCGGCTCCGAACGCAGACTAGAGTGAAGGGTTGTCCCCAGAGGTATTTACACTGCCCGAGTGCGAGCCAATGAATCATTAGTGACAAAGTAATCAGGCCTCCCATTCATATGTTGCTTGGAGTATTTAGCAACCTGACAAGCCCTCTGCCTGCCAGCTGCCCATTTAGAGAAGTGGTGAATACTGTTGTTGGTGTCGTGGCAAAGTGTGATTCATTTTTAAATACATTCCAAATCCCTCTAATTAGGTCCACTTTGCTATGCCTTGCATCCTTTCACCAGACACTCCAGAGCACTCTGTGGGTATCTGACATGTACGGCTAAACTCATCCACACACCCTCCATTTCATAATCAAATGGGTCTGCATTTATCCTGCATTCAATATTAATGGGCTCTTGAAGTGCTCGTTCATCCCTTAAACCCAGAGAGACATGAAAAGTTCCCACTGTTCAGCAGGCTGATTTCTCCTTTCCAGGCAATACATGCAATTTTTTGTTTTGCCATTTTGATGCTTTACTTTATCTGTTCTTGATCTGTTCATTTAAAGTTTACACGGCACATTCAAGTTCAATTAATGCCCAATGAAAGTTTTCAGCAAAATAGTTTAGCACAGTTTAATTTAAAACAGCTTTGGAAGCTATTTTGAACTTATATCGGAGAAATACGAGCAGCAGGCGCAGCTATAGGTGCCATAATTTAATCATTTTATATTAAGTCTTTAGCACTGATGCATATCACATTAGTACCAGTCAACCATGAGTATAATACATCAACTAAGTTTAAAAAGTTTCTTAGTTTTTGCATTGCTATCAAGGTTATGCTTATCTACTAAGTCCAGTTATGACACTCTGACTGATTATTTCCAGAGTTGCCAGCTTTGCTTGTGGCCATTTTTTTGTGCTGTGACCAAACCATATAAACTCAAACAGAAGACGGAGTTGGAAAGAACAAAAACGTCCTTACATACTTATGATCAATACACATCTGCAGAATATCTTTGGAGCTGCCAGAATTTGAGAAGGGCCCTGCAACACTTCCTTCAGTCCTTGCCTCTCTCCGAGCTCATCCTACCCTCTGTGTGTGTGCCGTGGAGAAGGGGGCACTCTTGGCCAGAGGGAAAACTGACGCAATTGTTGCTGTTGACGGGACAGAGCTCAAGCTGCAACGCAAGCGAAAACCATTACACAAACGCTCTCCCTCCTCCTGGGAATTGGTCACAGTCACTTTAGAATTGAGAGGATTTCATGTTTAATTTTTTTTTTATTCTCTCGCTTTCCCCTCGTGGCTGCTGTGCAGCAGGCATCGAGTTGTATTCAGAAGTTTTTCAAAAGGGGGGAAAAGTTTTTTAAGCGATGCAAAAACGGGAACGCCGTGGCTAATTGTCAAGTGGTGTAACAGCTGAGGCTGAGGAGTCAGAGCGGAGGGAGAAGAGGGGAGTGTAGGAGAATTTTAAAGAGCCCCCTGAATAACAAGATGCTACAACCTACAATAAAACACACAGTTATATCAAAACCAAAGGTAGGAGAAGATGAGGGGGAGAAGAAAAGCACATGACAGGATGTGAGTTGAAGAAATGTTCCAGTTTCCAGTCTCAGGATAAACTCTGGAGCGATTTGAAAAACCTATTTAGCTCCTACCTGCTTCAGTTGAGAGAAGCGAGGTAAAGAGAAGAACTGACTGAGTCTTATTTCATGGGCCTCTCTCCCTCTCACTCTCTCTCTCTCTGCAGCAGGGAGCTACAACACTGCTGCTGCCTTAAGCCCCTGGAGCAAGGCTGACACTCATCCACTCTCAGCCGGTTCCACTGACTGTCACAGCAGCTGCCAATCAACAGCTATCTACCTGGAAGCCTGAGGGCTGCTGGAGAGAGGCAAGAGCAGAGGATGGAGAGAGATGATGATGAAGGGGTGAGACGAGGCGGAGGAGAGGAGAAGAAGCGAAAGGAAAAGAGGGAGAGAGGCAGAGGAGGCCGGGCATTCTCTGCAGCCTAGGTAAAGGCTGTATTTGGGATTCAGCATTTCCATATCTGTAACAGAGAGAGCAGAGAGACAGGGCACCGAAAAACAGAATCTCAGGCATGCCTTTCATGTTGGCCTCCTTTGATCTCCTCCTGGCTTTTGGCAGTGAGGGTGGAGTAGAAGAAGAGATGGAGAGGAAGCAGCTGAGGAGGGGATGAGGAGCTGTTTTGACAACCTCTCTCCATCTCTTTCTCTCCTCTCCGTCCCCCCCCCCCTCCACCTCCAGAACCTCTGATCTGCCAGGAAGCCCAGGCATTAGGACTGGCACAGGTACAAAACAGGCGTCCCGAGTGTACGACCGAGCCGCGTTCCAAAGACGCAAGACAACAGAGGTTATTAGTAGTCATGGGGCAGCGCTGGCAGTGCCACCAGAGACATGTAATACCTGCCCTGCGATGCTCTGACGCTAATCCATATCTGCCACGACAGCTTTTTCACAGCCGAGAGGAAGGGACGGCTGACATGAGTCAACCCGCGGGAAACCTGTCCGCTCAATCCACACCTCCAATTAAAAAGCACATCCAAAGACGCGCCAGGCTACGTCCTGCTGTGAATATTTATTGCTGCACAAAAAGTCACCCCTCGGAGGCAAGGCTCATATGTATTCATTTGTCTCTCACACTGATTTTCTTTTCCCTTCAAATTAAAAATTCAGCGTGTTACTAATAAGCAGTGATTATAACATAAAGAATAGGCGGATAAGCTGATTTTATTAAGCTGAGTCTACTTCCCCTGACTTCTATTTGTGCATGTACGCAAAGCTTGGTGCTAAAGTCTCTTATATTTGCTTTGAGATGAACGAAGAAAGGAATGACATTTTGGTCAGTGTATTAATTGGTGTAATGAATAAGTTGTGTTAAGTTATAAACTGCCTGAAGTAACGTTCACTTATATACCGCCTCTGCTAGAGAATGCAAACACACACACACACCCTCACACACACACAAACAGAGCAGGTTTCACCTCTCCTCCCGATCATTTATCATCATTTTATTGCAAGGGTACCAGGGGCGCAAAGTTATTACAGGTACAGTAGCTGTAAAAACTGTGAAAGCCACTTCACCAGAAACTCCAAGAAAAACTCTCAACTTGTTGAGTAATAGCTGTGAGCCACTATCCCTCATCCACACACCACCAATCTGTCCATCCATCCATTCGTCCCCTTCCACACTCACCATCTATCAGTCATGGGTCCTTTCAGCATCCATCAACGTCAGATTTCTGATCGTCTATTGGCCGAGACATTTTTTGCAAGTCACAAGTAAGTCTCAAGTCCTGAGTCAAGTCCCA